AGTGGAGGGGATGTGAAGGAGTTGGCTAAACAAGCAAAAGGTGGCAACTCGAGAGTGGTGCTCCTTTGACTCCCAAGCTTGGCCTTAACCTCTTATTCTCTTTTTCCTTAACCTTTAAGGCATTCTAGAGTCTTCTTATCTTATCAAAACTCTATATACTATCTTTTCCTCTTTTCAGGTGTTTTTCTGCAAATTTTGGATCCATTTGGAGTTGATTTGGGTCACCTTAGGTCCACTTAAACCCATAAAGCCCAAAACTGCAACCCATGCACATGCCCTCACTTCCATCGGCCATATCTCCCTTTACCCTTACAAGTTTTTGGCTCATTTTAGCTTTACGTGCTCGACATGATTTCAACCTCTAAATTTGGGTACATTTAGACCACATTAGGCCCATCTATGGTTCACTTAAAACCCAAAAGGTCTAAACTGCTAGTAAGGATAAGCCCATGCCCATGCCCATGCCTTCACTTTAAGACCTCATATTTGGCTTAATTCTTAATCATTTTAGGCCATCTCTTGCTTCACATGTCTTTTAAGCTAGCAACTATCACATGATTTTCGTTTGGACTTAGTTGGAGTTCATTGGCCCATATAAGCCCAAAAGATAAAAATCACCACCTATTTCCATGCCTGTTGAGTTGACTTTGTTTTTCCCAAATTTCCTTCAATGAAAATTTTTCTCTTTCCATAAACTTCTTCCTTTATGTCTTAGCTAGTCCCCAACTAAATTTGAGCCTCAAAATCCATGTATTTTGGCCTCAGGACACCAAGTAAGCCGAAAGGGTCAATTAGGATTTCTCGGTGAAAAACCTTTTCCCACCTTGTGGGTTTTGGTCTTTCTCTCCACTTTTTACCTTCTCCAAAAAATTCTCTTTTGCATTTTTGTTTTCTCATGTGTGAGCTATCATTCTCCCAAATATAGGTTTAAAATTCCACTAATTGGAGGCTCACAAAGTGTTTTTAAATACAAAAGGTCACTTTCTTTCACCCTAGGGGATTCTTCTCCCTCTCTTGAGGGATTTTATCCCTCACACAAGGGATTTCAATCTCAATTCCCAATCCAATTGTTTTCACGTGTTCCCAAATTACTTTCCTACTTCCAACAATATCATTTTAGTCTCAATAAGTGTTCCCAGACCTAGGAAACTCAACTTTCATTTTTGATAGAATATTCACTCCCTAAAAGTTTATTTTGCCCTAATTTCACCATTTTCGCTCCGTTTCACTCGAAAATTAGTTTTTAACCTTATTACGCATATTAAACACATATATAAATTATCACACATGCCATACACATGAAATTATCTCGGAAGTTCTGCAGGTTATCACACTCGGCCAAGGCCTATATATCAATTTTTTGGTTTACCCGAAAGAGTTGCAATATATTTTAGCATAGTATTGCTAGCAATGAAATAAAAATAAGTTCACCATAAGATTCATCATGAATTTCATAATAACGCAATCAAATAGATTATCAAAGATTTAGATCGAATCTCAAAAAGTTGAAAATATTTCTCATTTAACATTTAACGAATACTTAATATAACACAATTTTATGAGAAGAAACAATTGCCAGCTCCAAGGATTTCCACATCTTAGCAGGCCTCGTGGCCACTTGACAGCATAGATATAGGAAAGAAAACTATAATTGAACATGATTTCACATATAATCAATTGTACAGCAAAATAACAGCCAAGGAAAACTATAATTGGCAGCTAAATATTCTCATATATCATACAAATACTCTAAAGAAGTAATTCCCACACCAAACAATTGAACATGACTCCACCATGAAGTTTATATGACGGAGTTGATTAAGATTGATCGACAGTGATGTTCTGGTTTTCTTTTTCACGATTTTGCTCCGCCATTCTCTGAAACTCCATTTCACTTGCTGCAATCAGACGTTTAACGATGTCGAAGGTGGTAAGCCTAATGCTGCAATCACCAACCAAAAAGAAAAAAGAAAGCATTTATCAGAAAGTGTTAAGAAAAAAAACTAATTGAACTTCGTTATAATTAGGTTTATAGAAAAAATAAACAAAAAAAAAAGAACAATTCATCAACTCAAGGTTCACCATATCAACACCAATCAAATGATTTCTCATTGAAATAGCAAGCAAAAACCCTATCCCAGATCAATGACAAAAAATTATGGAAAAGATAATTGAATCTACTTAATTAAAAACTGATAAATTATGAACTCATTTTACAGATTTAAAGACCATTATGCAGAATAAATAGGATATCTAAAACTTTTGTCATAACCCTCGGAGAATGTCAGGTATCTTTGACATGCACCCAGTGACAACTTAGACTATAAGAAGGATAGAGTATAAAATGGAGAAAGAGGAAGAAGAAAAAGAGGATAAGAAGAAATAAGGGAAAAAAAAAAAAAAAAAGATAGGCGAAAAAGATGCTGCAAATAGAGACTTTTATTAATATTCATCATGACTGAGAAACTTTATTCCTCTCATATACTAACAAAGGCTTTTCTATTCTGTTTCCGGTTCTATCCTTTTTCTTATAAGTCCAAGTCGTGACAGATGTATCAACAACAAGTTTAAGAAAACAACTGAATCATTTTACTAAACCTTGCAAAAAAATTCATTTAAGCTTCCCTTAACTGCAGAAAACCACTAACAAAATACTATACCCTTGTTTATTTATTGAAAATTGCATTCTCTTTTTCTAAATTCATATACTTGACAAAAATACATACAGTTTGCAAAATGATAACAAGGTTTGGAAATTGATATTAGATATAAATAAGAGACTAATAAGGAACTTTACAAATTTTAAGTTATAATACAATAATTAATATGAACCTGCTGTTTGGTAGATTTTTCAACGCATTGGGTAAGAAGCCCCTGTACAAGCCAATAACTCCATCCCGTTCGATAATACCTGCATCAACAACAACAAATGAGGCATAAAAGCTCTGCGGAACTCGGAAATGATAACAATGAGCAATACGGCCAACTAACCTGGAAATGCATCAAAAACAGACTTGTATGGTGTGCCCTTCAGTTGCATTTGTCTTCTAACAGTATCCAGAGGATAACAAGTGATTGTGGCAACAGCAGCTGACACCACAGCTGTAAGTAGAGATGCTTGTGTCTTCTGTTGATACTTTTCTGGTAAAGACTTCTTCACTCTGATATTACCAAGGAGAAAAAATATTTAATATTAAGAACTCAATTTACTCTTCTTCAGCTCATATAGGAAAAGATTAGGAAACCCACAAATCAAAAATGCAAAAGTTAACAGCAATATAGGGTGCTATTCCCAGTAGAGAAGGTCCAAGACCATAATAAAAGGATGCCACTCCTTCCTCTCGTAGCATGTTTAAAGCAACCTACAAAAAATACATTAAAAAGCATCTTCAGTAAAATTCAATTTTCATGTGAGAAATTCAAGTGGAGATCCAATTGAAAATTCAAGAGGGTCAATCATACCTCAGACATGGTTCTATACCCTGGTTCGACAGCCAAGCGTAATCTCAGGACATCCAAAGGGTATGTTATCTATAGAGGAAAATGGTTGAATACATGAAAACCCAAAAGTGGATAGACAAACATGACAATCAGTATAAAAATTAACAAACTTGAGATAACTACTAGCTGATATAACTTAGGCAAGGTAAAATATTATTGTGTTGGATAGAATATATAAAACATCATCCTCAGAAACACCAACTGAAGCCCACACCAAGTACCAAATTTGAGGATGACAACTTTTAGCAATCCTAGTGACTTAACTACTTACAAAAGTAGATGTCATGCCCGCACAAGCACCTGCTGCAAGTCTTCCAATAACAGATAATTGGCCATCCTTTCCCTTGAACAGTTTCTAAAAATTCAAATGTAAAATCAATCAAATGTGTAAAAATATGAAAAAGTTCAAATGTAAAATATCAATCAGATGTCTCCAACCCTCCAGCTACACATCATACCTAATCAAGTTTTCTTTCAAACATCTAGTATTACCTTGTAAGTTTCATAAGCAAAAAGCTGGACAGCACTATAAGGTATAACCCGTATCACCTGAAGAATTTAGCATAATTTCCAAATGAAAAACAACTCAATAGATTTATCACAAATAGAAGTGAAAATGAAAATCTAGAATGATGGTAATAGTAAATTGAGAAGACCTGCGGAAGATTCCCCTTCCAATACCCCTTAATCCCCTCTTCTTTTGCTATCAAAGCTATGGCCTGCAGTTTGTCACCAAAGAAAATCTACCAAATAAGACTGGCAACTACTAGATACAAAGGTAAACTGCATCAACTGCACAGAATTATTTTCAAGACACAATCCATACAAATTCCTCCCTAATTTTCGATACAAAATCTCTATATTGCCACAGATAATGCACAAGTAGGAACCTTTAATTTCTGGTATAATTGATCTTAATCTTTATAATTATAATTATGCTTAGAATATGTGGTGTATGAAGCACTTTGGCTCAACAAATCTAGGAACACAGAGTATTAACTAGGACACACCTCAATGAAACCAATTGCCTTCTTTGCACTTTGTTGACTAGCTCTCACACCATGAGTCTGCAAAAGATATTTAAATTAGAGCAGCATGAAGGAACAAGCAGATACCTCATGGATTTTAGTATTACGGGAAACAACAAATTCCAACTCTAGAAATTGGTAAGTTTCGGACACCAGAAAAATATTATAGCAAGGAATTCCTCCCTCCCATTGATATAAATTATTTGTATTTAGCTCAAACTAAACCATAATGCGGAGACACAAACAATTTTCTTTCAATGATCAACTTTTAGCAACATAAAAATTATTATCCAAAACATTTGATAACGTATTAAGTCATAAGTAAGTCAATCAACAATTAGAATGGCTCTGAAACCTGAATCCAAAATGCAAATAAATAGCAGTTCCCACACTAGGAAGAATACTACTTCCTAGCTAAGCATGGTCTCGTCAAGTGGATGTCATTTATCTTTCGTCCAGATATTTAGGAGTTCAACAAAGAGTAATTGAGTAGATAAAAATTTCTTTTCTAGACAAATGAAAACTTGTTCAAAAATGCAAAAATGAGAAAAATAAAGAAGAACCAAAGAATTAAAAACAGAACTAGTAGGATGCCATGGCCACAATACAATCATCAATAATCAGTAAATTGCAAAGGTTCCTGCAGCAAGAAGGATTAGCAAAACCCCCAAGCCCTCAGATCATAGCCTTCATATCAGATTTTATGGCTTAACTTTGATTAAAATATATATTTTGATTAACATATATATTTTGCTTAACTTTTGGTTTTGCTACTGTCAAATGAAACAGACGTTGCAAATTTCAGCATAGATTTATGTGTTGTAGTAGGATATATTATTCTCCCATCATGTACCATCTCTTTCTCTCTTTCTAATAATATTTCTTCCTTTAACCCAAAAAAAAAAAAGTATCAGCAGATGGTTTCTCCATAAAGTTCTTAATTGTACTTTATCTGACTAAATGCAGGCAAAAGATGAAAGGAAAAATGATTTCTAGTCTTCTATGCCTATAAGGGGGAAAACTCTAATGGGGTAGTCTTCCTCTTCTGCTGCTTGTCTTCGGTTTTGTGCCTTCTCTTCTCTAATAGCTTGCTATAAAACGGTGCTTGATCCTAGATTTCACCAATCAATACAAGGCAAAATACTTCTACCTGTCAAGTTAAAGAAAACACTTGATTCTACCAGGGGGGCATTTCCACATTTCCAACAATAAATTTTGGTATATTCTGCAATTGGGCATTCACCTCCTAAACTATAACAATTAAAAATGTGAATGCCGGTAATCATACCAAATAGAGCTTGGAATATTAAAACTTCAACTAATTATATGCTTCAAATAAGTTCAGTACTAACTAGTAACTTCAGAATATTCCTCCGTCCTCATTTTGTCATTTCTTCTTTCTTTTTTTTTTTTTTTTTTTGTTTATATCTTTTTCTATTCATAAAGCCAGGAAGACGATGCAAAAGGTAGAATCCCAAATTAGAAAAGAAAAATATTAAAAAGTTCAACAACCAAAAACGCACTAAATAAAGAGTAAAACGACCTCGTTACGCAAAAAGCAGTTGTAAATAACACGTGCCAAAAGCAAAGGTAGTTGAAAAATGAAAAACACCTGCATAAGAAGCTTGATACGGTCCAGCGGGGCCGTAACCGTCTTCGCGGCCGCCCCTGCGATGGCTCCAGCAGCAAATATCGCCGCGTCTCTGGGTACGAGAGCGAGCATGGCAAGAGGATGCTTCAGGAGCTGAGCCGTTCGCGGTGCGAAATCTTTCTGGTCTCTTTTCTCCGCTATTGAAACGCACGCAAAATTACCGAAACTGCCACAGCCACTACCATTGATGCTCGGAGAACATATACGAAGAGAGGCGTTTTTTGTCCAGAGAGGCTCGTGGTTGGCCGTTTCAAGGAGACCGCAATGTGAGGCTTCAAGGCTAGGGATGCGTCTGAAGTGAAGAACGGCTTTGTCTTCTCTCATGGCTGGGAAAGGAAATTTAGAGAGTGAAGGAGGGAAAGAGAAGAGATAAGGCAGTGGAAAGAGTTGCAGAGAGGAAGCGAGAAAAGCAAATTGAGGGAGGGAGGACCTTTCTAATTTCTATTTTTAAAACCCCCACCTCAGTATTCCTCTGATTCTGTGTTGTAGGGTCTATGGAGTTAGTATAGAGCATCGCCGCATGATTGAAGATAAATATATAATTTTCTATCTTTTAATGTGTCTTTTTTCTAATTCTTCTTCTACAAAAATTGTTAAATACTTCAATAGATATATGTAAACTAGAAGACTTCATAAATGGAATTAATGTATTTTAAATTTTTATTTACAATTTTCTAACAAATTTTTTAAATAAATTAATCGTATGTATTTATAGAATCTTCAAATTCATTTGTGCTTATAATTTATGTAACAATTACTCATTATTTATTGAGGTTGATCCAATGGATATTATTGAAGATTTTTATTATTGTCTGCATAAATTTGAATACAAATTTTAAGGTTTAAATATGTCAATAGCCTATGATTTTTTTTTTTAAAGTTTTTATAATTTTTATATTATAAATTAGTTTTTCTATTTTTATCGTTAAGTCAACATTACATGTACAAGTTACACGGCATTAACTTGCCAATCAATTTGATTTTAGCTTGGTCCAATTTGATTTTAAAATTGATATTCACCCCTAATTCTTGTATCACGATAAAGAATCGAAACCAAAATATAAAATTTTTTAAATTTTAAATCTAAAATAAGTTAGACGAAAATGTTCGAATTACAAATTTCGAAGGTGAGCTATCAAGGAGTATATATTATGTTTTAATTAATTTTATCAATATTTTAATTATTACTTATTTAATAGTTTTACTAATAATTTTTATAGACGTTATTATTCTTAGAGGCACATAATATAATTGATGAGAATAAAATAGCAAGTTTTGTCATTACATAGATCACTACCTTAGTACACATTACAACACCAAACACACAAATTTATATTATAAACTTTCAGACTTTTAATTATTTTATAGTTGGGCCCTAATTGAAAAGTTGTTTAAGGCCATAGATTCTTCTCATATTAGCATCCATGCATGTACATATTCCGCACAAAAATTCTTTAACTCTACGTATAATAGTAAAAAAAAAAAAAATTTCTTAGATATTTATTGACTTACTTTAAATTTCATATTTTTTATTTTATTTTATTTTTTTTTTACTTTATATGATTGTATTTATTTTAAAATTTTATTTTCTAAACAGAATTATATTATATATTTCGGTTTGACATGAGAGACCGTTTACTTGTAATTTGATATGTGAAAATTAGAACAAAAATACTAAAAAAAAATTAGCATAAATATGATACTGTTCAAAAGGAAGGTAGAGAATGTTAAGAGGGAAAAGAAATGAATTTTTTTATTATTAAAGAAATTAAATCATTACCAAGATACAATAATAGCACATGACATAACACTCACATTTTATCCCCTCCAAAAGAACACTCAGAAAATACGAACAACTCTAAAATCTAAAGAAACTATATACATTATATATATATATATTATAATGCTGTAGCTGTAGCCTGTCTTCATCAAGCTTCAATGGAAGCAAAACCCCATATAAAATAGTTCTATATATATATATATATATATATATATCCATTATATGAAGGAATGTGTGCATGAGCAGAGACGAGCAAAAACTCATAACCTTTCATGGCTTTCAGGCAGGCTGCAGATCAGGCGAGAAACGCAAAGAATAACAACTGTATATGTGTTTTGCAGTTTTCTTCTTCGACACATCGATCCTTAATCAACCCCCGCATCCTGTTAAAAATTAATATAAAAATTATAATTTATTTTATTTATTAATTTAAAATTTATCAAAATTAATTCATATTAAATTGTAATAAATTATTTTTAAAAAATTAAATATTATATAATTTAAAAAATTAAAGATCACGTAATTAGTATTCCAAATATTAATACATTTTGTTGAGTTTGAATTAGTTTATATGTAAATTTATTTAAATGCAAACTAAATCATTAATTTCTTATTAATAGAAATTCAAAATTTTTTCACCTGAGAAAACTCCCAGACCTTATAATATTCATATAATTATACTAGTTGGCAGTCAAAAAGCTCATCAATGTATGTTATATATATATATATATATATGTAGACAAGCTGTATTTAAGTAGCAAACAGTTATTAATTATTTACCTACTGGGTTAAGCTGATCTGAAGGCAGCTCCTATTGCAGATTCAAGTTCCATGACGTTATTGACATTAGCTTCATCTAGACAAAAGAAAATTAAAAATGATTTAACGAAAGAAAAAGAGTTTGATTTTCATCAGTTATATATATATATATATATATATATGTGTAAATAGACTTACTTGGGACTGGGGATGTTTTCAGCACAAAGAAGCATGCTCCAATAACAACATAACACAGGAGGAGAACCAATCCTTTCATGTAGTGGGAAGTGCCATCCTACAAACATCAATTATGTTAATAACTTTTTTAATTAATTAATCTGGTTTTGCATGCTTAATTGATTGATACCTGTAGAGTAAAGGCGGTGACAATAATTGATAGAGCAAGAGAGCCGGTTTCAAGGAGATTGAAATTTAGATCCATCTCAATACCCATAATCCAAGCAACTATTACACTCAATGGTACCTAATCATCGTCAATTATAAAAGTAAACATAATTAATTTTAAAGAATAAAGCTTAATTAATTCTATTGCTGTCTTTAATTAAATATATTCTCACCACAAACATGGAAATCTGAGTTGCAGACCCCAAAGCAACTCCCAAAGATATGTCCTGCATGTTTGATCAACTTAGCCAACTGAATATCCTTCTTAAAATTTGGGAGGAGAGGAAATTTTATAATATGTAGGCATGCACTTACCAACTTGTTCTTAAAGGCAAAAATGATAGCTCCAGCATGTTCTGCTGCATTTCCAACTATTGGCAGCAAGATAATACTGAGGAAACTCACAGATATTCCCCATGAGTCGGATGCATCCTGCAAATAATTTAAACCAACTCTTTCATATTCAAGTTGCCACCACTATAAGTACATACATATATTTACATATATATTTTTAAGATCTTCACCTCAATTGTGCCCACAACGTACTCAGACAATATAGAAATGACAGCAGTCATCCCCACCAGCCAAGCAAATCCACTCCAAAACCCTATAACCGGCGCCTCTTCCGAAACCACATCATCATCCTCGGATTCCTGGTTATGAGAAATTTGTGGTAATTTTAGTGGTGTAGAACAAAAAACTACTTATAATTACATCAATTATATGTTATGTTATATTATATTTATGCAGTATGCCAAGATATATGAGATTGGGTTTGCTAAGTTGTAGTTATTGATGAGTGTTGATGTTACTTGATTATGAAGATTTGTACTTATCTTGGAGAATTTTTTAGATTTATTTATGTATATCTTATGAAATTATGTATTGATGATGTATTCTCAAATTATCATAATAAAAAATTTTTTTCTCGATTCTTCTTATAAACGTTATTGTTAAACAGTGTTAAATTTTATATATATATATATATATATATATATATATATATTTTTTTTTTAATTTTTACTCTATTTTATTGTGATTGTGTATGTTTTAGAGATTAATTTTTTCATCAATAAGTAATAATTAGAGTACCTCTTGGGCTTCGAACAATTGGCGGTGAGTGCCAAGTTGGAAGACAAGGTAGGCGAAGTAGGCAATGAGCATGACAATGCTGTTTGCTCTTGATAAATCAAGTGTAGGACCTGCTGCTAATGGGGCAGCCGCATATGTAAACAACATTGGCAATAGGTTACACAACAATGCCAGCAGGAGCAGCAGACAGTTAACATCTGCTTGTTTCTGCAATTCAAAATTAATCATATGATTAATTAGAATTAAACTTAATTAATTCTCAATTAAAATAATAATTATAACTAATTATAGATAATTAAATAAATTACTTACCCTGTCATATTTTTGTTGGTTTCTGAGGTTGGCTAAGCCACCGCAGAAGAGAGAGGTGCCAAGAACCAGGAGGAGATTTGAAAGTACAGAACCCAACAGTGAATACTTAACAACGGCTATTTTACGTTGGGATAGAGCAAATATTGCTATTATCAACTCTGTGGCATTTCCACACGTAGCATTCAACAGTCCTCCCACTGCCGTTACATAACTTGTTTATATACATATATATATATATATAATCTTATAATATTTATATGTGTGTGTGTAATGGGTGCGGGTGTAAATGAATACATGTAGGCTAAAGTTATTAAATTACCTGTAGAGCCAGTGTAGTAAGCAATTTGCCTGTACATGAATCAAAAAACATTCTTACATCAATTATTATTATGCATATACGTATCAAATGTTTATATATATATATATATATAGTTGTAAGAGAAAATGAAAACTTCACATTAATAATTTTGCCTTACTCTGTCAAAAAACTGACACGTTCCGCCAAAGGAGTCAGTCCAAGTAAGCTCAACGCAAAAATCCAAGGCTGTAAATTGCCAAGAAAAATTCTCAATTACTTATACATATATATATATATACACACACACACACACAAAAGAATCGGATGAATGTAGTTGTATAATAAACATTAATTCACTTCAGAAGGAAGCAAATTAAATGCAATGAATAGCCGAGCGAAGTACTCGGGCATGTGTATATACATGTATATATATATATATATGTATTTCCATATATCTATTAACAGCAGACAAAACCCTAAAATGTCGAAAGAAGAAAATAAAACGGAAAACTCACTCTTCCAAATCCATAGCATTGAGCGATAATGGCGAGGGGAATCGCCGGAAAGAGAACGGAAAGCTTCGTTCCCAATATGACCTCTTGAAGATTAGCCAAAAACTGCCTTAGAAGGCTGCAAGGGACCTTGGAAACCAGTTTTATGTCTGATTTTTTTCTCAAGGAAGAAGACGACATGTTGTGTGCAGTCCTGCCATGCCGAATCTCCTTGCTGGATCCCTTCAGATTGCCATTCTCCACCATCCATGGTTCCTGCAATAACGATGAAGCCATTTTCGATTCTCTAGAAAAGAACTGTAGGCAGTACAAAATTCTGCAGGAGCAATTTGTGTTTGTTCTAGAGAGTAGTATTACTATGGAGTGTGTGCGAGGGAGGAGGAGAGATACAGTTTAAATAGGATTTATGGAAAGGGTTGCAGTTGAAACTTCCCGGAAGCTTCCTTCCTTCATATTAGTTATATATATATTTTCTGAGATATACTTCTGTTTTCGGCTACGTGGCGGATATTATTCAATTTTATTTTCCCATAAATATATAAATATATTTATATTTATTTTTTGTACATGTAAAAAAACTATTTGACACTAAAATTATGCATTTTTCAAAGCTAAATAAAATCAGACAAGTATAATTTTAATTATGAACACAACAGCTTTTTATTCTTTTAATATTATAGTTTGTTATTGAACTTTTTATGAAATTGTTAATTTCAACATTACAAATAGATAGATATAGATGTGTAGTAATTAAAAATAAATAATAGGTTGGATAAATGATAGTAAAACTATTATTAGCCTGGTTTAAAAAATATAACTAACACACACATATACATATATATATATATATATATATATGTAAATACAACTTTTTTATATTTTTTATTAAGATAGTTCCATCAATTCAATTTTTAACTGATTTAACTAAAAAAATTAAATAAACCCAACTAATTTTCTCAATTAGTTTAATTTTTTTTAATTTTTCTTTAAAAACTCTAGACCTTTTCATTGATAACAATCATACACTAAATTAATTAATCCAAATTTTTTTTCCCTAAATAAATAATGTAACACCCGCAATTTTGCAGAGTTAGATAAAATATATATTTAAAAATTAAATTAAGCACAAAATTATATAAATTAAAGTTTTAGGAGTGTAAATGAAGAAAAAATTAAATTTTGGTGATATTTTATGACTAATAAGGCACCTAAATGATAATAAA